TGCAGCCATTTACAAATTTAAAACGCGGTTTAGATATATGGACAGATGTTATCTGACTTTTTCCTTGTGCAATTATCTTATTCACAACGCGTGAATAATGTCAGTTGTAGCGTTTGCAAATAAATCTAAATAGAATCTCTATTAGAGATTATATGATGCCATTTAATATATTGATATTGCTAATTGATAAAAAAAAAGACAAAAAACTAAACGAGTCGTGTATCTATAAAAAGTCATATCATGCATTCAATGTCACTCAATGTCAGAGTTTGATCAAATGCCATAACATTAAATATTTAGGCGACAGACAGAAATTATTTATTCTGTTACTAAACAATTATCCACAAGCCTGATTGTTTGTTTACACTCCCCATCTGTTACAAAACATCCAGCAGATTCACATTATCTCCCCAAACTAAACCACATCGGCTTCATCAAAACACATCTCACTCTTGACTTTGTTTAACTTCTATTAAATTGAACCAAACACTATTATCCAACACAGCACATTCAAACATAATGGTGTTGCATGACAATAGAAACAGCTAAAGCAGATGGGATGCTGGAAGTTACGGTTCATGTTGGGCTGCTGTGTGTGTGTGTGTGTTGGGGGTTCTCTCAAAGAAACTTAATTTATTTTAAGAAAACGTAATTATCTAACTCCAAGAGTATCCAGAGAGGTTTAATTCAAAACCACAAATCCTAACATTATAATTCATGTTGCACTGTTTTACCAATTCACAAAAACAGCATTAGAACAACATGTTCCATAAAATTATTTGTGACACTCAGATATGAAATGAGCTTACAAATGCCCAGCGGCTTTGTTGCACACTGACAGCAGAGAAATAATCAGCTTTTGCAAACCTTTGGCCTGTTTTAGTTATCTCAGCACACCATTAAAGGACATCTGTGCAAACACACATTCATCCAGGGTTTCAATAGTGTTATATGCAAATGTCTCAAATATGATCGATTGGCGCCATATTATTGTATCTTTAAATTTGTTACTTTATGACAATCTAAAATGGACGACAACTCATCACTCATTCAAAAGAAAAACAAATATTATGAATCTATCCTTTCAACATCATGTCCAGCCCCAATAAATTCTGCTGCCATTCTGATGAAAGCAGCTGGTAATTTAAACAAATAAATAAAGTACTTACTGATTCAAAGCGAGTATTTTTGTCCTGTGCTTATCATATCCATTAATCACACAAGTATCAATAATTATGCGTGCTTGTGGCGTTGAAAAAAATAATTCACAGAGAACCGCGGTCTAGTGTTGCGTTTGACTGAAACGCACTCCTATTTTTATTTAATTTAATTGTATGTTTAATTCATGGCATAGGCGTGACGTGTCCACGCTCCCGCACACGCCCGTCGAAACTTCACTGTTTGACAACCTCGCGCATTTATATCGCAGCGCACGCGCGCGCTCCGCCCTGCTCTATGACGTCTTTTCAGCTGGAACTACTTACTGATCAGATCTTGCGCAATACCTCAACCCACCCAGCTGGATAAGCGGTCAAAAGTTTGTTAAAACGCTCTGAACGCATTTAAACTTTATAAAAATGATACAATACTCGATTTTAAGCAGTTTACCTTTAATACTATAGTATGTTTTAACTACTGTATAATCCATATAATGTTAAAAATCATGCTGATTTTACATTTGTATTGGTCTCAGAGGTATTCGTGAGGCAGGTGTATGTTTGTTTCACTTAGACTCTATTTAATTTGGCGAAATAATGTTTCCAAATGTGAGGCTGTGCGACGGAAGCTAAAAATAAAAGATGTCATAGCAACAGTGCAGCCATTGGCTGAGAAACGCGAGGAGCGGTCGGCCATTGGGCGAGCGCAGCGTCCACTCAACGGGGGGCGTGGTGACGTCGGTTCAGCGCGTAACAACGTGCATGATGGGAATTTGAGTCTCTTAACAACATAACGAAGCAACGAGTTTTGAGTTCGAAGATATGTGAAATGAAAAGCAGAGTAAATGGAACGTGACATCAACCTAAAGCCCCAAACACAAATAATTAGTGGCAGAAGACAATTATCTTGTAATGTTTGGTCAGAGCTCTTTATTGGCTTTTGGAATGTTTTCCCATCAGAAATTAGATTCGATTTTAAGAATTAAAATTTGACGTAGGCCTACTTTAATGACAATTTTTGGTGTTGTTTTAAATTTTTAGAAAAAGGTCTAATGAATCTTTACTTAAAAAAGTACTTTCACATTTTCTTCTCTATTATGCAAATAGGGAGTGAGTGAGTGAGTGAGAACGTCAGAGGTCATGGTTTAACAACATTTCTTTAACATATATCAACACTGGTCGAACAAATTATAGGGTGAATTCAGGTAATCTGGGACATCTAAGCTCCAGTTTGTTTATTTCCTGTTCTAACAAAATTTAGTCAACGGGACTTTTACTATAATTTTAGAATGGATGTCATGTGACTGAAATCACATGACTTCATGGGGGTGATTCCGCAGAAAGGGGCGGGGCACTTGTCAATCAAGAAGCTCCCCTGGGAAATGCATGACAAGGTCAGTGACAAAGAATTCTGGCTAGATTCATGTTAAGGACATAAATCTGTCATAAATAAGACAAGATGTTCCTAATTGTTGTCAAATTATGTTTGTGATCTATTCAATATTGTTCCCCGAGTAGCCCTAATTTTAATAGAATGGAGAACTTGAATAACCGAATGAATAATCCATTAATCAAATTGTTGCTTGCTGTTGCTTAAATTTTAGTTGATTTTTTAAAAAATGTTAATACAATGTTAAAAAAATGTTAAACTATTTGAATAGAGTTTTAAATGAATTAACACAGTAGATCGTTAATCCTGTGTAGAGATATTGGACTGCACATTTTCTTATTGAGATCTCTGTAGGCCTACCTGTCATTTTTTTCATAATGCTTTTTAAAAATTGCTGATATTGTGTTTGGCATGCATAAAGTATGGTGAATATAGGCTTTTTTAGGCCTAATACATATGTTCCAGATGATCAAATTCAGGCAGAATTTTTATTTTTTTGCCACAAAAACACTTATAGGTGTGGCATGTCTCCTCTGGGTATAATATCTTCATTCTTTCTTCTGGTGTGGTTAGAAAACGTCTTAGGGATTTCAGAAAAGTCCATTGTGTTGATCTAATGTGTTAGATAACGAAATAAATCGCAGAAGTCAAAATTGCAAAAAATGTCCCAGATTTCCCGAAATCCCCGAAATCACCCTATTTAACCCTACAGATGTCCCATAATTCTACTATTAGAGAGTGTCCCATCTAAACATCTTATTAGTCCAAATGTTCACGTGCATGCTTGTATCGGTTGTCATACTGACATTTTAACTCCTTTTATATGAAGGTGCTGCACTGAACCACAGTGGTATATATATATATATATATATATTTACACAGCCTCTGATTTATTTCTGACAGTTAATGTTAATGCTAAACATATTCTCAGCAGTGCCCTCTAAGCATGCATAATATACTACACGCTGCAGATCTTTGAGGAGATTGTTGGAGGAGCATCAATGGACAGCAGATGTCACTGTATGCCACTCTCTGCTGCATATTCATATCTGAAAAGTGAAAATCAGATATCAAAACATGCATTACTTAAAAGACGAGCCTATGGATGACATTTAGGCTAGTACAATGCTTTTTAAACAACAGTCACAATGTCTTAAAAAGTCTTCATCAGTGCTGAGCTGTGGACTTCTTCCACGAGTTTCTGATTGAACAAAGTGTTGTGTTTCTGATAGACTGATGTCTAAGATATTAGGATGGAAATCTCATTAAATATCATGAACTCATTGAAGTTTTTAAACTCGCTGGATTTTTTATATTTGTAGAGCTAAAACCACCACCAATAAAACATTAGAAACATAAAAATGAAGTGCTTTTAAGATGATTCATTTCCGTTGGATGTCTCAGGTGTTATATTCAAATTTTTTGAAACAGTTTTAAACTAAAATGTAGAAGCACATATTTGTAGTAATTATTTTTCAAATAGAGAAATAAACATTGAATTTGAAAATGCAATATGTAAAATATTAATATTATAGCTATGCAAATATGTGACCCTGGAGCACAAAACCAGTCTTAAGTCGCTGGGGTATATTTGTAGCAATAGCCAAAAAAAACACTGTATGGGACAAAATTATTGATTTTTCTTTCATGCCAAAAATCATTAGGATATTAATTAAAGATCATGAAGATATTTTGTAAATTTCCTACCGTAAATGTAGTGAAGTTAAAGTCATAAGTTCCCAGAAAAAATAATACTCAGGTAAAGTACAGATACCCAAAAAGTGTACTTAAGTACAATACTTAAGTAAATGTACTTAGTTACTGTCCGCCTCTGGTTGTATCTCGGCCAAATATTGTCCTGTCCTAACACACCATACATCAATGGAAAGCTTATTTATTCAAAATGGACCCTTATGACTGGTTTTGTGGTCCAGGGTCACATATTAATATAACGGTTTTGCAAGTGTTATGTTCCTTATTATTCTCTCACATTATTGAGACCTTGATAGACACAAAACAAAATTATAATTATGCATAATTTATGAATTATCAGTCTGGCATAAGTACAAAGACAGCTTCACATTATGAAACACTTGAGTTCAAAACTAAATATAAATTGTTGTACATGTAAACAGAATATATATATATATATATATATATATATATATATAGTTTTCAATCAAAATACAATGTAAGATTTGTTGATATTAGTTTATATGATGTTTTGCAAGTGTTTAATTTATTTCAATCGAATAACAACATGTACAAGACAAAAGCCAACAATAAAAAGGTTAATTTAAACATAAAATACATAAATAACGCATACAATTCTGAAATTAACTAAAGTGTATTATATTTTAGTATTTAGTACGTATTACAATTAAGTATTACACTATAAAATAGTCTCTATATCAACATTTTTGAAAAAAATAAATAAAGGAAGATATGCTGGTCGCGTAAATCAGTGCCGTAAAGCACCAGCCGCTGTCGTGAATCAGCGCAAGTGTGGCTGGCTGTTGTCATGCTGTGCGCTCAAATCATGACATATTTTGGGTTATTAATAGTGTACATGTATAAACCGCAGCTGCTGGATACCATCTGTCTGCACAGAAACACAGCTGCTGAAGCTGCCGGAGGACTGAGAGGTAATATGACAAAGCTGCAGAACATCAAATTTAAGAGTGACAGATTCATAAACCAGTAACGTTAACTAATAGAAGTTCATAGTTACAGTAAATAAGCTCAGTCTGAAAGATCTCGGTAAGATCTCTCTGTAAGATCTCGTAGTCCGGTTTCCGCGGGTCTAGAGTTCGTGCTCGCTTCTGTTCTGGGTCTGGTTGAGGATGTTTGTGCTGGTGGAGATGGTGGACACGGTCCGGATTCCGCCGTGGAGTTTCCACCGACAGCTGAACGACGCGATCGCCGAGGAGCTCAACAAGAAACTCGCCAACAAGGTGAGCTGAGGAAATCAGACAAGCACCAAAACAAACCATGAAATACATGAATTACATATAAGAACTATTTATGTATACATAAATACCAGAATGAAATTCTCAAAATATTCTTCTGCTCACCAAGCCTGCATTTATTTGACCAAAAACAGTAATATTGTGGAGTATTATAATTGTGTTGTCTAAACTCCTCCGCCCGTCTGCAGGTGGTGTATAATGTGGGTTTGTGTATCTGTCTGTATGACATCACTAAACTGGAGGATTCCTACATCTTTCCTGGAGACGGAGCGTCTCACACTAAAGGTGACTGTTCCTCACAGAGACTCTCTGTGTCCAGCACATCCTCATTCTCTCTCTCCTCCTGCAGTGCATTTTCGATGTGTGGTTTTCCACCCATTCCTGGACGAGATTCTGGTGGGAAAGATTAAAGGCTGCAGTGCTGAAGGTGTTCATGGTAAGAGGGGAAAACAATTGTGCTTTTCTCTTCTAGTGTTCATCACTGGTGGTGTAATTATCGTTAACTAAAAATAAAACCATACAAAAAAATTTTTTCTTCACTTGAAATAAAAGTTAACAAATCAAATATATGTATAAATATATTTGTAACACTTCTCATTTAGTTACTTTCAGTTCATGTAGTTAAAATAACTAAAAATTTAATTAAAACCAGAAAAAAGTTCCGTTACTGAGATTAAAATTGAAATTATACACTTAAACATTTTATTTCAGCTAGTTGCCAAGACACCATTTCTTATTTTCATTTAGTTTTAGTTGAAATCGTAAAATAATTCTAAACTAACTAATTAAATAAATAAATCGTTACTTGGAATAAAAGAATTGTTAATTGAAATAAAATAAAAAATATAAAAAGGCAACATTTAGTTTAAGTTGAAGTACTAAAACAACTCAAATAAATAAAACAATAAAAAAGTAATAAAAAAATAAATAAATAGTAACTGAAATAAAACAAATATCTATTTTTATTTCAGGTAGTTTGCAAGGCAACAGTTCTCATTTTAGTTTAACTTGATGTACTAAAATAATTAAAAATAAACTAAAACTTAAAAAATAAAGCATTTTTGTTACTTTAAAGCTGCAGTCCGTAACTTTTGGCGCTCTTGCGGTTAATAAACAGAACTGCGTGCGTCTTGCGGAAGAACATTGTAGCCGAGAGATACTTCTCTCTGTTTATGTCTATGGCGAATCACGCAGGTACTGGGCTACTCCGCAGCGGTACCTACCTGAACCAGTCTAAATAGTCCGAATATAAACACTTATTATAGGTGTACCGTAGTGATTCAGGACAAGCCAAAAACACGGTTTGGAAAATGGATTCATGGTGTACTCGATTATTATATACATTTTGTAAATTTTGAACACAAAAAAAGTTACGGACTGCAGCTTTAAATAAATGTTAATGGAGACATATTATGCCCATTTTTACAATATGTAATGTAAGTCTCTGGTGTCCCCAGAATGTGTCTGTGAAATTTCAGCTCAAAATACTCCACAGATCATTTATTATATCATTTTGAAAATGCCTATTTTGAGTGGAAGCAGAAACACGTCGTTTTTCGGGCCTGTGTCTTTAAATGCAAATGAGCTGCTGCTCCCCGCCCCCTTTTCCAGACAGAACAGTTAGTGTGTTTTGCTCAAACTTTCGCCGTGGCATTAGAGCCGGTACACCGTCGTCGCTTGCGAAAACAATGACGGCGCCTTGGGTGGAAACTTACTGATTAAGGGGCGGTAATATTATAATGAGATCCCTTTGCCACGTTACCAAGGGAGCGAAATCAGACGCGCTCGTTTTCTCAGATGCTTTCAGAAAAAGGCTTACCAAAACAAAGTTACTGGGTTAATCTTTTTCCCGTTTCCTTGGTTGGTAGATGCACTGGGGACCTGATGGGCGACGTGTCGATGAAGACCTCGTCCACCACCCGGACTTAAAACCACTTAACACCTGGAAAAGTCAGATTTTCATGATATGTCACCTTTAAATGAAAAAAAATAGTAAAAAAACTGTATTTTAGCTAGTTAACCTTATTTTAGCTATTTTGTTTAATTTGTTCTAAAACTGAAATAAAAAATTTATAAAAACTGTATAGATATATTTAAAAATATTTGTAACAAATACAAAAAAAAAAAATACTAAAAAAACTTAATTAAAATAAAAATAAAAACAGAAAATACTAAAATAAAACCAAATTCAAAATATTAATACAAATTATAACAGTATCTCACTCATACTGAAATAACACAATGAGCACATTTACATGCAGATCATTATGGTTCATATTCATTGTCAACCCTTTATTCCAGTAGATTAAGAGCTTTAGAACTTTGTTTGCAGAATGATGGCTTAATTAGAATATAGAAGTTATTTGGAAATGGAAAAGTCTGCATGTTGTCATAAGTTGTTATGAGGTGAATAATGACTTCACGTGTGTCGGTTCCACAGTGAGCCTCGGATTCTTCGATGACATCATAATCCCGCCAGAGTCGCTACAGCAACCGGCTAAATTGTATCCTGAATCATCGCTTCTACCAACACATTAACATGACACTATTAATTAGCTACCAGTGTATTTGTAGCATCATGTACCCAGCATGCTCTGTTCCTTCACGGTTGGCGTAGCGATGAGGCGGAGCAGGTGTGGATGTGGGAGTACGAGACGGACGAGGGCGCTCACGACCTCTACATGGACCAGGGCGAGGAGATCTGCTTCCGGGTGGTGGACGAGGTCTTCATCGACACGTCGCCCTCGGGTCCCAGCGCAGAGAAGGAAGGGCCAAGCGCGGCTGCCACAGCGCCACCTGCAGGAGCGGAGGACAGCGCGCAGCAGAAAGAGGCTCCGTACACACTCATAGTGAGAATATTAGACCTTAAATAAAGCTATAATGAATATATAACCCGTTCCATCCACCATTTGTCTTTGCAATATCATACACTGATGATTTGCTCACAGTAATACCACAAGCGTCTCTTGTTTTTTTCTGCAGGGATCTGTAAGTGAACCAGGTCTGGGTCTTCTGTCCTGGTGGAACAGTTAACAGTCTCATCTGTTATGAAGCATGAAAAATCAGCTGAAACCTCTCATAAGACTAATTTACACAATGAACTGAAGCTCTGTGGACCAATCAGTGAGCAGCTGGTGCCGGGCCAATAGGAGACGCTTAATAAAAGAGCCATTTATAATGATTTAAATGGGATTATTGTGTTGTATTGCTGTGTCCTATGGAGTTTACTTTATAGATAAATTCTATAAAAAATGTTTAGCAAACAATCTTTTTCTGACACTGAATGGAATATTTTCATGTGATCATGTATATATGGTTTTTGGATTTTTTTTCTCCTGCTTTTTACAACATTAATGGAATGAAAAATATTATTGTAATTTTTTAGTGTATTTTGTATTTATATTTAGTTTACATTGTATTTACATTATATACAATATATATACATATACGATTGCTAAACCTTGTTTTATTTAGAAGGTCTCTATTTTAGGTTATTGACTTTTGAGCTTTCCCTCCATCATAATAAATAATAATCAAATAAAAATAATAATAGTAAACAAATAAGGAAACTTGCTTTGTACCTAAACATTCAAATACTATGGTATTGATATGTAAACATTTGTCATGTTTTATAACATAATTTCTGTCCCCACATTGTTATAACCATCGTAATTTAAAGTTTATAAGAGTATTACTTGCAGCATCATAAATGTGTGTGTGTGTGTGTATATATATATATATATATATATATATATACATTTACTTTTGATGCTACTAATTAGTAGTAAGATGCATCGATAAAACGAGTGAATCGTTACACCCCTACTACTAAGGCTTTATGTAGGCTATTGTCAGGTGACTGCTGTTTACATAATCTCATATGACACGAGACAGTCTAGTGATGGGAGTGACTCACTTGAACGGCTTCAGTGCGTCATCTTCGGGATTCGGTGATGCATGCCATGAACGCGTCGGTTCTCCCGGTAAAAGCGTGCTAACGGGGATCTCCTCCATCACACGAGCTCACTGTGGATCTGCACCGTAGCCTATATCTCATCTTACATAACGGCGGTCGACAGGACGGGACGGAAGCATCTGTCAACTCCAGACAGCGGCTGTAAGTTTCTGCATTTGGTCCATTTATTTGGGCGTTTTTATTTATTTTGCCTGTTTTTATACTTGTAGTGTTTGTACTATAAATAAGCGAATATGCAATCTAAAACAGAATTAAAATGATTACAGTTGGTGCTTGGTTTTATTAGGCAAAATCCCATCCCTTAGCCCACCCTTTGTTGATGTCCTCTCGTTTTTCAAAACTTAGCGCGCCCTCCTAGACAGCAGTTATTATAGGCATTGATTGTGCGCATATAAATAAACGCATAGATAACACCGCCAAAAATGCTGTCTAGTAAGTCAGCTGAGGAGATTTTGAGGCACAGCCCCTGCCCTCCGTCAAGAACATTCTGGAAGCGGGTGATGCTGAGCGGAAGATGAAAGGAATAGCATCTTTCAATCCATCAAGCGTTCCTCAACATAAACGTGACGTTTACGAGTTTGGCGCCAGTTCTAGTAATTTTGCCGAGTCAAAACCATCGTGTCAAATTGTAAACACTTTTTCTGCCTCTTGTTCGTGTACGTGATTGCTTCATTGCGAATTTGGTTCGCTTTATGCAGATCATATAGGCCTACTATTCTTGTGCTGTCACTATATATGGAATTTAATTCCATAAGCGGTGATGTTAAAGTTATTAATGGCAGAACCAGCAGCAGCTCTGACGTCATGAGGCCAGATTCCGCGTGCGCGCGAACCGTTTTGATAGTTTTCAGTCACGTGACTGGTTCGAAGACCTGGGACCTGGCGGGCAAAACATCCATAGAGGATAGAACTACAGCACAAGACTGTCAATTTTCTATCTCTTCCGATCCAAAAGTATTAGATCATCTCTCAAAAGAATAAAACAAAGATCTGTCGCAATATATCAATCACTAAAAACAGTGTAAAACGTTCAATGTGAAAACACAGTGCCTTTAAAACAGTGATATTAAAAGATTAAATTAGTACTCACCTTATTGATGATGCGTGCTTTATGCAGGCAAGCAAATGAGCCCGGAATATGAGCGCAATGCGCTACATGGTGTTCTATGGGAAAACATTTAATATTAAACTTTGCGCATTGCGTTTATATTCTGGGTTCGTCTGCTTGCCTGTACAAAGTATGCATCATCAATAAGGTGTATACTGAATTTGGTCTTTAAATATACATTACTACTAAATGCAATCCTCCTAAAAATAACTGGCAGGCAATACAGGAAAGCTTTGTTTTGCCCTCCATGTGGGCGTTCCTGTAAGGGTGTGACGTCACGTGAAAACTATCAATATGAGACTATTAACCTAAATATACATCTGACACCTGATGTAGCATATACTGTTAGGTCTGATCTTGTTCAGAATGAACACTATTTTCTTTGCGACTTCAATCCAACTTTATAAAATCAAAATAGAGATTATTAAAAAACAACATCTGATATTTAATTTCGGTTTGTTTGTGGCTGGAAATATAAGGTAAGCTATATAGAAATGTAAGCATTGCGGGATACATTATCTTAGGCACAACTACAAAAAAATAATAATAACAATAATAATAATAATAATAAAAATTAGAAACCACCACAGAAAATCTATTGGTTTCCACTACAAATACCATTACAAACATTACAAACCATCAACTTTTAGTCATTAAAACCATAAAAAAAATGGTTTTCTGTAGTGTGTTTTTGGCCATATTCCATTAGGATTTAGTGGTTTTAACAAGCCACCAATAGAAGGCGACCAATTACCAGTAGAAACCCAGAGAGTCAATTACACTTTCCATTAAGTCCCATTATAACCTGTAAAACCATTACAAATTCTGTGATGGTTTCTGTTGTTGTTGTTTTCCAGCAGGGTACTGTACACAATACACATAAACTGCACAGAATAGTACAAATAGTAGGTTTGTATGCTATCCTTTTAATTAAATATACATCTGATGGCCAGTACAAGAGATGTACAGTTCAGTCTGATCGCAGAACGGCTTCTTGTGTTCTTTAAGGCCTCTTTGAAGACAATGCAGGCTTTTGTGCATGAGGAACCGGGCACGCAGCACTCGCGCCCCGGGCGCAAACCGTCTTGAATGTAAACTCACACAAACAAAAACGCACACACACACACACACACATAGACAGAGGCTTTGTGAAGCACAGACTAAATGTCAGTGCAGAAGCTGTTTTACTGCACGTCGCTCCTCACAGAACAATCTGTGCCACTGCAAATAAAAAACAGAGCAGAGTGCGTGCACGGAGCATTTGTCAATAAACACACTGTACAACATGCGTCAGATTGAAAAGCTGCAGCTGGCAGAAATAACGCGTTGGATGTGATGTGAGTTTAGTGTTTCTCCCACAGGTCATCTTCTGCAGGCATCCGGAGTTCAGAGAGCAAACCGACGCAACCTCCGCATCGCACGCCGTACCCGTAACCATGGCGGAACCGGAGCTGTCGCCCGCGGCGAACCCGTCTCTGCCGTCTCCGGTATGCATCATCAATAAGGTGTATACCGAATTTAGCCTATAAATATCACTGTCTTACTATATTACTACTAAATGCGGTCAGTTGAGGAAAGCTTTGTTTTGCCCTCCATGTGGGCGTTCCTGTAAGGGTGTGACGTCACGTGAAAACTATCAATATGAGACTATTAACCTAAATATACATCTGACACCTGATGTAGCATATACTGTTAGGTCTGATCTTGTTCAGAATGAACACTATTTTCTTTGCGACTTCAATCCAACTTTATAAAATCAAAATAGAGATTATTAAAAAACAACATCTGATATTTAATTTCGGTTTGTTTGTGGCTGGAAATATAAGGTAAGCTATATAGAAATGTAAGCATTGCGGGATACATTATCTTAGGCACAACTACAAAAAAATAATAATAACAATAATAATAATAATAATAAAAATTAGAAACCACCACAGAAAATCTATTGGTTTCCACTACAAATACCATTACAAACATTACAAACCATCAACTTTTAGTCATTAAAACCATAAAAAAAATGGTTTTCTGTAGTGTGTTTTTGGCCATATTCCATTAGGATTTAGTGGTTTTAACAAGCCACCAATAGAAGGCGACCAATTACCAGTAGAAACCCAGAGAGTCAATTACACTTTCCATTAAGTCCCATTATAACCTGTAAAACCATTACAAATTCTGTGATGGTTTCTGTTGTTGTTGTTTTCCAGCAGGGTACTGTACACAATACACATAAACTGCACAGAATAGTACAAATAGTAGGTTTGTATGCTATCCTTTTAATTAAATATACATCTGATGGCCAGTACAAGAGATGTACAGTTCAGTCTGATCGCAGAACGGCTTCTTGTGTTCTTTAAGGCCTCTTTGAAGACAATGCAGGCTTTTGTGCATGAGGAACCGGGCACGCAGCACTCGCGCCCCGGGCGCAAACCGTCTTGAATGTAAACTCACACAAACAAAAACGCACACACACACAAACTCACACAAACAAAAACGCACACACACACACACACACATAGACAGAGGCTTTGTGAAGCACAGACTAAATGTCAGTGCAGAAGCTGTTTTACTGCACGTCGCTCCTCACAGAACAATCTGTGCCACTGCAAATAAAAAACAGAGCAGAGTGCGTGCACGGAGCATTTGTCAATAAACACACTGTACAACATGCGTCAGATTGAAAAGCTGCAGCTGGCAGAAATAACGCGTTGGATGTGATGTGAGTTTAGTGTTTCTCCCACAGGTCATCTTCTGCAGGCATCCGGAGTTCAGAGAGCAAACCGACGCAACCTCCGCATCGCACGCCGTACCCGTAACCATGGCGGAACCGGAGCTGTCGCCCGCGGCGAACCCGTCTCTGCCGTCTCCGCGCTCGGCACCACTGTCGCTGTCATTCCCGTTCCTGCGAGAAGGCAGCCGCGTTTGGGAACGAGCCGCCCTGCAGCCCGGGGAGTTACAGAGTCCTCTGCCCACCAAACGCACGCGCACGTACTCGGCGTAAGTAAGTTCTGGGAACCTTCTAGAAACGTAAATAGAACGTTCCCCTAACGGTACCTAAAGGGAACGCTCTATTTTCAAGAAAACTTTCCTGGCTAACCAACGTTCTTGGGAACGTTCAAAAACGAACGAAAAATTGTTAGCTGGGAGAAAGGGAATTTCGCGTGAGGGTGAAAGATTCCCTCACGCAGATTTCGCAATGGGTTCACTATTGACAACAGACAATAGATTTATTTTGCCCGCAAAATTTCTACGAAATTTCGCTAATGTGACTGC